GAAAGGATAAATTGAAAATATAAACTAAAATCCCGATTATGCAAGACTTAAGGTCTGATTATGGCAACTTAAAAATTGTGTTAAACGGGTGTTGCTTATAATTGAACAGCCGAAATTTAACGTAACTTAATACTTCGTCGAAATCTGTTTCATTTTGATTCTCTAAGTTCTACGTTTCGTTAGGTTAAGTTAAGTTGGCATAATCAGGCTTTTAGACTTGGCTTGACTTACCTAGAAATTTAAAAACCATTACTCTCCGTGTCATCTATTGCTTTTTCTCTTTTTTTTTATCCTCAGTATTTGTATTTGTACATGCAAAATTTTAAACGTTTAATTTGTTGGGGGTAAAATTGAATACAAATTACAATTGAAATAAATGTATTTAAGCGTTCAAAATTGTGATTGTTTTATTTTATTTTCTATCTTTACTTTAAAGTTTGTTTTTCGATTGCCAGGTGAATTGCATTTATACAAGAAATCATACTTATGTGGCATATTTGGAGGAATTTAATTAAAAATATGTGAAGAAATGATGTGGCAGCATGATTCTCACTCGACTCTCTTTGCACTTAGAAATTTAACTTAGAAATCAAAAATATATAAGTAGTTGTCCAAGTTTCTAAGTGAAGTTGTTTTTTGGGTAACTACATACACGCGCTGCTCATTTGCCAGATATGCAATTTTCAAGACAAGTCAAGTCTAAGTCTTGCTTAACTGAGCCTTATTAATTCAAATTCATAAACAATTTGATTTTCCAAAAAAAAAAAAATTTTATTTGATTTCTCTATTTTTTCATGCACAACAGCGATTGTGAAGCGAGCATTCAGTACATTTCGTAAATTAAGAACATGGCTCACGGTGGTCCTCGACCATCTTTAACCCTGACGAGCTTGCACCTCCGATTTTGTATCCCATACGGTTCAGGAATACTTCCCAAGCATATTCGTATAACACAGAAAATCGAAAAGTGGGCACTTTTTTAAAATCGATTTTTCACCTGTCTAGTAAAAAAATGTATTGTCCTTCGAACTTTCGGAAGTAAAGTTTACCAAATTTTATTTCACATAGAATCATATAAGAGATGCAACATTTTACATTATTAATACATTCCTAAGCATATGAAACATAAAAATTACGAAAACAAGAAATAATAATAATACTTTTACTTCGCATGTGGAAAAATGGCAGCTGGTTATAATGGTTTTTTTTACATGTAAAACTACAAGTTATGCATGGAGTGAGAACGGCGATAACTATTTTTAACCGGGGAGTTAGTGTTAACCATAGATAGAGAAGCCGGCCCTTAGATTTCTACCAGCTAGCAGGCAATGGAAGCTGATCATTACGACTTTTCTGCATCTTGGCCTAAGTATGTATAGGGTATCAAGAAATGATCCTGATTATGCCAAAAATTACTCAGCGCATTCTGCGAATATAATTCACATCACATTTAGAATGTCATATGTTTAAACTTTCCTAAACAGTGTCTGTTTGTCCGTCACTATTTATAGCCATTCTAAATCGTCGTCGGTTCTTAGTTAGGTACGTCTTAGCGGACCCTATTCTTTAGTGTAATCAGTAGTTGTTGTTCTATGTGTACATTAGGGTGGTCCCTCATCAGGTGGTAAACCTCTTCGATTGATACCCATCTTTTAAAAATCCATTTAACTTATTAAATAATTTGAAATAAATTTTTAAACAGGTGGCAACCCTCTTCCAGCACCTCAAAAATATTATAATAGGATTGTTCTATATCGAAAGAAAGTATACCCATATTTTTATATTTTCAAATCAATAAATATTTAGAGGTCGCTCAAAGCGCCCCAACTTTTCCATGTATTTTGTATGAAAAAAAACACTTTTCGTGGAAATGGTATGGAATTCTTGAAAATATTTTTCAATCGGAAGACTGAGAAACAGAGATTCCCAATAATAAAACCGAATTATTTTTTTAACAATTTTTTCTTAGTAACTTTATTTTATAGGACCGCCAAAACCCCTAGAAAATGCCCGAAAATGCAATGGAGGATCAATAAAAAATCTTCATTATTAAAAAATGGTTAAATAAATAATTGAATATTGTTATTTGAAGTCTCCTGAAGAGAATCAGAGTTTTCCGATCAAAAAATATTGATTTTCAAGAATTCCATACCATTTCCACGAAAAGTGTTTTTTTTTCATACAAAATACATGGAAAAGTTGGGGCGCTTTGAGCGACCTCTAAACATTTTTTGATTTCAAAATAAAAAGATGGGTATATTTTTCGATATAGAACAATCCTAGGGGGTGAGAGCATTAAAATTCCGACTTTACTTATTTTGGACCACCCTAATGTGTATACATATAGTATGAACATATATGTAACTATGTCGATAGACTTAGAAAATAATTTAAAATTTGCCGAAAATCTGACTCGAATAGTAGGGATGCCAAAATATGAGGAAAATTGTGATCCCGGGATTTCGGGATATTTTTCCAGTAACCCCGGGATTCACATTGAGTCATAACTGTTATGAATATGAGTAAAACTTCAATATATAAAAGCATTTTAACATACCATGAAATAAAATTATTTAAAATTTACCATAAACTCTTTGTAAAACTCATATATTTATTAAATGAGACAAATCTAAAAGTTATAAATTTTTAAACTGTATTTAAAAAACCATGTGATTGAGGAACGCATACATCACGCATAACAATGGAAATACCAGGTATTTTTGAAAGTAATGATTAATAAAAAAAATTAAACAAAAACATGCAAAAACAAATTCTCTAAACATGTTTATTTTACTCTATACAGAAATGGCGAATATTTTGCAATTTTTTCGCAATTTACTCCAAATTTTGAGGGTCATCGAGTCAAACGGACCTCAGATTCGAATTCACCAGGTCGAGAAGCATGTCGGTAGGTGGGTCTGGTTTGAAGCACACACCTCTTTTTTTATGCCGGTGTTGTTATTACTTCTTCTTCTTCTTCTTTATCCTTTTCTCTCGAATACTCCAAGAGCCGCCTCATCAGATGCTTTCATTGTCCATGCCTCCGCGCCATACACCAGCACAGGCATGATGAGTGACTTATAGAGTGTGACGACGAGAGAGGACTTTACTTTTCAATTGCCTACTCAGCCCAAAGTAGCACTTGTTGGCAAGAGTGATTCTCCGTTGGATTTCAAGGTTGGCATTATTATTGGTGTTAATGCTGGTCCCAAATAAACGAAGTCGTCTACTTTTTCAAACTTGTAACTGTCAACAGTGACGTGGGTGCCAAGACGCGTATGCTCTGACTGTTTGTGTGATGACAGGAGATACTTCATTTTGTCCTCGTTCACCACCAGCAATTATACGCTCTTGTAAAGTATTGTGCCTGAGCGGTTCAGTTCTGCGACTCCTATTTTCTTCTCCAACATCTGATTAAAGAAATCACACGAAAGGGAGTCCCCCTGTCTGAAACCTCGTTTGGTATCAAACGGCTGGGTGAGGTCCTTCCCTATTCTGACGGAGCTGGTGGTATTGCTCAACGTAATTTTACACAACCGTATTAGTTTCGCGGGGATACCAGATTCAGACATCGCAGCGTAAGGGCAAATTCTCTCCGTGCTGTCGAAGGCGGCTTTGAAATCGACAAATAGGTGATGTGTGTTGATTCTATTCTCGCAGGTCTTTTCCAAGATTTGGCGTATTGTGAATACCTAATCTATGGTGGATTTTCCAGGCCTAAAGCCACACTGATAAGGTCCAATCAGTTCGTTGAGGGTGGGCTTTAGTCTTTCGCAAAATACACTCGATAAGACCTTATTACCTGTGCTTAGAAGACTGATCTCGCGGTAGTTGGCGCGTATGGCGGGGCGCCTTTCTTTTGGATTAGGCAGAGCACACTTAAATTCCAGTCGTCGGGCATGCGTTCATTTGACCATATTCTGCATACGAGCTGATGCCTGAACCTCATCAGCTCCTCGCCGCCGTTCTTGAATAGCTCGGCTTGCAGGCCGTCAGCTCCAGCAGCTTTGTTGCTTTTCAGTCGCGTAATCGCTATTCGTACCTCGTCATAGTCAGGCGGTGGGACAGCTACTCCATCATCATCGAGTGGGGCCTCGGGCTCGTCTTCTTCACTACTTTCAGCGCTGTTACCATTTAAAAGATTGTAAAAGCGTTCCCTCCATAATTTAGGTACGTTCTGAACATCGGTAACTAGGTCGCCATTGTTGTTCTCACAGCAGTACGCCCCGGTCTTGAAACCTTCCGTAAGTCGCCTAATTCTCTGGTAGAATTTTCGGGCTTTCTTCCTGTCGGCTAGCATTTCAAGCTTTTCTCATTCACGTATTTCGGCCCCTCTCTTCTTATTGCGGCAAATACGTCGTCTCAAAGCTTTTAGGCTCAACTGCCAAAAGGTAGTCATAAACAATTTGAAGTTAATGACCTCTATCTTCTCCACTATAAAATATTTGAACTTCTTTTACCGGCAATTCGGTTAAATTAAAACTTTTTCGATTTGAGTAGATTGATTTAAAAGATTATGTAACTTTTTCTTAAAACTCTCTGTTTCGTTTACATTAGCGACGCTATGAATACATTCATTTAAATTTTCTTCAAAAAAGGCTCAGACTGCTATTTAAAAGTACAGTTTCAAGCTTTTTGTTAATTGCAGTCAAGACGGCATTTTATGTACAAAAATCATACTTCAAAATTCATAAACAAGTTCTTACAATCAAATCGATATTAAAAATTTTTCGGGATCCCGAGATTAAGGCAAGCACCTTCGGCACCTCAAACACACCGGGATCACGGGATCCCAGGACTGGCTTCCCTACTAAATAGCACACAAATTATTGATTAAAACAGGTTTAAATATATTTTAAGTGATATACATATGTACATATATATGTATGTATGTAGTATTAACCTCTTAATTTATGGCAATTCTGCAAATAGTTCATTATTTGGCATACTTATAATTTCTAATTAAATACCGCTTATTAAAATTTTATATTCTTTTGCAGAACAAAATGGAAACGTCAAACTGCTGTTGGGTTGGAATTACTGGCAGAAGCCGGAAATTACGCGGCTTTTCAGCGTCTCTACGGAAACTCTCCTTATCTTAGCACATGGCCGTATGCAGTGCAGCCAGCTCATGGCACGCCTTCCAGCACTATAGATTTGTTTTTCCGCCAAGCTGCTGCTGCTGCCGTGCTCCAAAAGCCAGTCTCTTATCGAATGTACCCCAACGTACCACCAATAAATGGCTTATCAACACTTCCTGCGCCGCCTTCACCATTTGTACATTTTAGCGCCTCCAATTCACTTAATAACTATTATCATGCAACTACCGTTATGCAGAATCCCTCGAAAATGAATAATATTTCATTGGCAGATATATCCTTCCCACAGCTAAATGCGGATGAGATGGGTTGCAAAAATACCGGCATCGGCGATCTCTCAGTTAGACTACCTTTGGATTCGGGAAATTCTTCGGAACAGGAAAGGAACGTGAAAGTACCTGAATTAATTGATGACGATAACGACATTGATGAAGATGACATTGAAGTGTGAAGTACTTGAAAAATGCGCACTGAAGCTAGTGCCAAGGCAGTCCGCTTAGGTGTGTGGCAAAAGATGTAGGCAGCCCAGCGCAGCTTCGGCGCAGCTTGCAGTTTAAGGTAAGATGCCGCTCGTGCCTCGTTGAGAACTCATAACGCTATTGTTGGACTGTTGCAGAGTAGACCAGATCATAAGACTTAAAGGTTTGTATAGGAGACTGATTGTGTTCCTTTCAGCTTTATTTATTCAGATAATAAATATTTCAGGATTTCGTGTGCTGTTGGTATCTTACTGCTGTCCATATTTGGGTGTCGAGTTCACACATACGTACATGTGTACATACGCTTGTATGAGTATTTTTTTTTTTTCAGAATGAAAATCTGACTGATGAGGAATAATAAATTTTGCAAACATTTTATGTATTGGTGTTTTATTTAACATTATGAAATTTCTTAAAGCAGGGTCAGACGATAGGGCGTTTGTCCAAAATTCGGCGTAAGTTGGTTTCCCAAGCTTTGTCCTATTCTTGACCAACAATTTTTTACATTTGTCAATTGACAAAACACATACAAAACACAGTACCGCTAATCGCGCTAAAAATAATTTCGTCCCATTTTTTATTTTTGTACCGTTAGGGCGCAACAAAAAATTTTAATAAAATAACCCTTGAAGAAATAGTAAATACATACATACCTTTGTAGGTACCCTGCCAGCAATTGGAATCGAATTTTATCGCTTATCGCCAAGATGTCACTAGGGGTCTTCCCTTAAACGCGTAAAAGCCTCGTAAACCTCGTAAAGCTCGTAAATTTACGAGCCTCGTAAAAGAACTGTCAAAATTTGTATGGAGCTCTATTTACGAGCCCCTCGTAAATTTACTGGGCAAATTTGATGCGCAAACGACTTCGTCAACTTCAGCGTTGCCGAGGGGCCGAAATTTTTATTCTAAAATAATGAAAATAAACAAGTAAGAAAGTCTAAGTTCGGGCGGAGCCGAACATTAAATACCCGGTGCAAGTATTAAATATATGTTATTTCACCTTTCCCAAAGCTACCTCTAGATGGTAAGCCGGTGTGTTTAAATTTTGAGTAAATTAGCGTCCTTAAATTTCGAAATATTGAAGTTTCAAGCATTTCTGAAATTTGCCTTTATATGAAAAGTGGCCGTAATTTTAAGCTGAATCCAATAATTTTCAACGTTTTGCTTCTATGGGGCAAGCACAATAATCATACATTGGTACAAATTGGTAGAACGGTTACCGAGATACATATATGTGATCATAAGTGGGCGGTGCCACGCCCCTTTTCCAAAATTTTATCATAAACGTATTTCCTGGTAAAGAATTGTTGCAAGCATCAATTTTGAATAAATTTGCTTTAATATTTACTGATTTATCGAAGATTTCGTATTTCTCCAAATTACCGTTATATGGGATGTGGGCGTGGTTATTGTCCGATTTTAAAAATTTTCAGCCATTTGGTATGCTGTGGCAAGACTAACAACTGTGCCAAGTTTGGAAGAAATTGGTGCAGCAGCTACCAAGATATACACATGTATCCATAAGTGGGCGTGGCTACGCCCATTTTCCAAAAATTTATAATATTCTTATTTTTCGTCTAAAAATTATTGTAAATATCAATTTTGAGTGAATAATCTTCAGTAGTTACTAAAATATCGCAGTTATCGTATTTCTGAAAATTACCGTTATATGGGAGGTAGGCGTGGTTATCGTCCGATTTTGCCCATTTTCAATACCATCCGTCCTACGCCCGAAAGAAGTGCACATACCAAGTTTGGTTCAGATATCTAAATTTTTACTCGAGTTATCGTGTGCACAGACGGACGGACAGACGGACGGACGGGCGGACAGACAGTCACCGCTTAATCGATTTCTCTTTTCATTCTGATCATTTATGTATACATTTGTCTATATCTATCTCGATTCGTTTTGCCTGTTACAAACAACCGTTATGTGAACAAAGTTATAATACCCTTGTGCACAAGTGCGCTCGGGTATAAAAACATGTACATACATATGTATATGTATACATACAATAAAAATTGGCTATTTATTTCCGGGCTGGGGCGGGTCCCGTCGTGCCGGGCCGGGCCCCACTAAAATTCTTAACGTGCGGGCTCGTACGTGTTTTCGAAAGTTGATTTTGCACTCGTGCCGGGCCGGGCCTGAAAATTTAGGCCCGTGCCCATCTCTAGTTACAACGTTATTTGAGGCGACCATTCATTTGATCATAAGAAATTCAAATACATACTTTCTATGTGACTTCTCCGTGATTAATTAAAAAAAAATATATATTAAAAATTTCCCCACATTATAGGTGACAACGCCAGAAAACTGGCATAATGCCGAATTTTCGAGTCATTTTGCCGACTACATGCCAAATAATATAATTTTATTTTAAAACAATAAGCTGCTGATAAACTTGATAAAATGATAAATTTATTATTTTGATAAATGAAATGTCAAACTTTGTATGGAAATCTATTTCAGAGTTTAAGACTTTATCAAACGATTTTTTCGGCTAAATGTATAAATTTCAGCAAAATTCAACCCTGACAGGTTGCCAGCTGGTCGCTTTTGCTAAGAACACGTAAAAATCAAATGAATGCAATGTACGAGGTAAGAATGAAACTACTAACTAGCCATATAAGTTAAATAATAAACAAATTTATGCAAATACTTACAAAGGTGCGTTCATGTGAAAATGCGAATAAACTGATAAATTTAAGCAATTTATCCCTTTAAAACTTTATACTCGACACAACTTTTTAATCGGCGCGAATTACACATGCATTCAGTGTTGCCACACATAGGCTTTTTCTTCCAAAACTGGTAGGTTTTTTTTTCAGTTGGTAGGCTAGATTGAATACGCGTTGCGCGACCATATTAGTTATATGCAACAAATGGAAAATTTTGTATCTCCAAACATTTTAGCAACCTTGTTTACACGAATATTTCACCATTGCGTTCGTATAATGGCTGCCGCAAACATGTATATACATAAATATGCCTGATTCGTAAGTACAATATACAATATGAACATCCAAATACAAATCTCTAGCTTAGAGTGAAAAGCTGCTAAGTCTCAATTTACAAATTGTACAGGAGAGGAAAAAAACTTCTGATAGCCATTTTCTTCAAGTATTGCCCTACATGGGCAGTGATGCAGTCTACTGTACATAAGTTGGCTATGATTACTCGGCCGTGCTATCATAGTAGCACAATGCCACTAAGTAGATACATTTTAAAATTTTCAGGCAATAGCCTCATGCGGTTATCGATTATATTTTTCGTCGTTTGTGTGAAATATTTTATTTTTTTTCAGTATTTTTCTTTTAATCAAAATATGTTGAAATAAAAGTGAAAATAAAAAAATATTTTGCCAGAACTCTTGTATTTTCTTATTGAAGAAGATGCCTGCTCGAGCGCCCTACGCTTGCCCGATACGATCAGCATGAGAAGTTTAGATCTTCTTGGTCCTTTGGAGGTTCTCAAGCCATTTCTGGATGATCCAGAGTTATTTTTCTACAAACCCTACAAGGTCAGAATTCATGAAAGGGACTGGTGAAGCAAAAATAACTATTATTGACGAAGGGTCCCAACTACGGTATACCGACGGGAGTACTAGGGCAGGCGTCATTGGACCAAGCTTCCAGAAAAGTCTGCTAATGGGCACATTAGGGTGCCGCTTATTTAAATTTATGGGATTTTATTAGGTCGCACCCCCTCGATTGGTGAATACAGTATATTTTGCTTTGCTGCCTTTACACTTAAGTGCTCATTTAAGATACCAAAATTCGCATCAGCGGCATTATTTTTAACATTTACAAGGAAACTGGTCCGATAGATGCATTCAACATTAGCGATACCTGCCTTAAAAATTGTGCAACTACATATTATCAATTACACTGGATCACAAATTTTAATTTTGATTTTGTTCTCCAACTTGTATGTAGAACCGCTCGCTGATTCCGCAAATCGAGTTAATTTATTTTTGTATGGATACGTTTTCGAGATATTGGCAATTTACCGTTATTCAGCTTAAAAAAGAGTGGTTCCACTCAATCAAGTATATCTTACGAACCAAATAAATAATCGTAATTCGAGGTACAGTAAATGAAAGAAAATAAAATTCTCTATAAACCGTCTATACATCACTGATAGTTTCTCAGAATATAATTAATCATTCCAGATTTTTTGTTTTTTTGATGGAAAAATGCAAAAAATTCAAACTTCAACAGGGAAGAAAGTCCAAAAATAACAGTTTCTGTGTAAATATTTTGCACTTGTGTGAAAGCCTGTTCCTTTAGAAAAAAAACGAAGCTTTTAATGAAGAATAGCGATAGATAAATAAGAAAATAATGATTGGTCAAATGAAAATGCGCAAGGATTTTTTGTATGAAATTGAGCAGAAAAGAGTGTTACTCATACGCCACGTACACCTAAGTAGGTAGAATGTTTGCATCGAAAACAAGAGGCGTTAGAAATGATTAATTAATTTCTCAGAAACTATCAGGGCTATCGAATCGTGATGTATACACGGTTTATGGAGAATTTTATTTCTTTTATTTCCCGTATCGTGTATTACGATTATTCACTTTACTCGTAAGATATACGTGATTAAGTGCAACCAATATTTTTTAAAGCTGAATAACAGTAAATTGCAAATATCTCGAAAAGTTATCCAAAGAAAAAAAATTATCTCGATTTTCGGAGTCACCGAGGAATTCTACATGGCAATTGGATAGTGGCATCTGCAGAACATTTCTGCTGTAAACCAGTGCTCTCAAAGAAAGTATTACGTTTACCTGCACTGGCTCTACACTTACCCTAATTTTACAAGCTTTTATTTATTTTGTTCATCTCGCAGAACAACGAAAACGGCTATCATTTTATGTATCTATATACATAATTAGATACCATTCGGAAATAAATTTCGATTGCGGTAATTTCTACGTGGTAAGTGCTAATCCACTATTTGGTTTCATAGGGATTCGGATACCTTCCTCATTGAAGAAAATTGAAAATTGAAGAAAATTCGCTTAAGTACTTTTTTCGGTTAAGCGCACAAATGTTTCGTGCAAAGAAGGATGGGCAGCTAAGATAAATACACTGTATTCACGAAAAAATTTGTTATTGACCGTTTTAGGGCAATCGGAGAAGATTTAGGCGTGCCGACCGCCGCCCAAAGTTTGAATTAATTAATGTTTTTAATAGAATGATGTTTTTTGGAACGAATTTCCGGAAACAACAACAACCAAAAAGGAAAAAGTTTTTAATAGTAAGTAAAACAAACCAATAGTGATAACAGTTGTAAATTGTTACAAAGCAAATATTTTTACTTGAAATATGT